GGGGGGGAGGAAGCCACTACGCAAAATGGTTAAAGGATAGGGTGGTTCGATAAGGTGGATAGGAGCATGGAAACAGAGCAACTAAACAGGATCAACTTAAGAATATACATAATAATGTAATATAGGAATTCAGATTCTGGAACATGGCTGACAGCCGGGAAATCTCACAGCAACTCAGTGATTCTGGCCATGAAAGCCTTCAACAACACAAGACTTCAAACTATTTGACCACATTTTCCTTCATTATTCCAAATGGATTTGGGAAGCGAGATTTTGGTCCCATGTTAAATGTATGATCTTTTGCTTGTTCTTTCTCCATTTCATATTTTAACAACCATTTGTACATTTTTGCAATCAGGAAATCCGTACAGAGAATAAACCGGAGGAGGGAAAGAGCTTCACTGAAAGCGGAGGTCTACGTTCATATCCAAGAACCCATTCTGTGGAGAAACCCTATAAATGCCTGGAGTGTGGGAAGAGCTTCCCTGAGAGTGGAAATCTACGTTTGCATCAAAGGACACACACAGGGGAGAAACCGCATAAATGCCTGGAGTGTGGAAAGAGCTTCACTGAGAGTGGAAATCTACGTTTGCATCAAAGGACACACACAGGGGAGAAACCCTATAAATGCCTGGAGTGTGGAAGGAGCTTCACTGAGAGTAGTAAGCTACGTTCACATCAAAGGACACACACCGGGGAGAAACCCTATAAATGCCTGGAATGTGGGAAGAGCTTCACTTTTAGTGGAGGACTGCATACGCATCAAAGGATGCACACCGGGGAGAAGCCCTATAAATGCATGGAGTGTGGGAAGGACTTAGCTCATTCTTCTGGCCTGGCTCAGCATCTGAAGATCCACACTGGAGAAAAACGCTTTACATGTCCACAGTGTGGAAACAACTTCCGTCATATATCTACCTTCAGAAAGCACCAGAAGCTTCACACTGGAGAGAAACTCTATGCATGTCCCGAATGCGGAAGCCGCTTTGCTCATAAGTGGACCCTAACTGTACACCGGAGGGTGCACATGGGGGAAAAGCCATATAAATGCTCTGATTGTGGGAAGACCTTCCATCAGAGACCGCACCTCATCGTTCACCGGAGAGTTCATACGGGGGAGAAGCCCTTCCAGTGTGCTGAATGCGGAAAAACCTTTACTCAGAGAAGCCACCTTACTGTGCACCGGAGAATCCACACAGGAGAGAAACCTTACGCCTGCACGGTATGTGGGAAGGCTTTTGCAACGGGGTCATCCCTTAATGGCCATCAAAGAACCCACACTGGAGAGAAGCCCTATACGTGTCTGGATTGCGGAAGAAGCTTCAGTCAGAGTTCAGCCCTTCATTTGCATCAGAAAATCCACACCGGAGAGAAGCCATATTCCTGCTTCGAGTGTGGAAAGAGCTTCATAAGTGGGCCGGATCTCACTTCTCATCAGAGGATCCACTCTGGGGAGAAACCCTATCAATGCTCTGAGTGTGGACAGAGATTCAGTCAAAGCACAAGCCTTGCTGGGCATAAAAAGGTTCACAAAAAGGGGAAACTATAACTAGACTTCGCATGAGAGGAAACAGTTTTGCATGTGGTTGACATCCTATGAAGGAATACACACACCTGAAATAATTGGAAACAATTGCATGCATTTTTTTTTATAAAGGAGTGAGTTTAGAGTTGTTGTTGTTGTTGTTCATTCGTTCAGTTGTTTCTGACTCTTTGTGACCTCATGGACCAGCCCACGCCAGAGCTCCCTGTTGGCCGTCACCACCCCCAGCTCCTTCAAGGTCAATTCAAGGATGCCATCCATCCATCTTGCCCTTGGTCGGCCCCTCTTCCTTTTTCCTTCCATTTTCCCCAGCATCATTGTCTTTTCCTTTCTTCTCATGATGTTGGTGTACATTTTCCAAAAGTAGATAGATAGATAGATAGATAGATAGATAGATAGATAGATAGCTCGCTCCCCCCCCCCCCCCCCCCCCCCCCCCCCCCCCCCCCCCCCCCGTACCAACTGCCTCTCTGGGGCCAGAGTGAAAAAGGGGAGCAAGGGAAACAATTCACCATGTCTCCTGGGTCACCAGAGCCCCTCCCCGCAGCAACAATATAGTAATATATAATACTATTTTTGTGCTGTGCTAATAATACACCATATTGTATCTACGTATAACTTGTAAGCTGCTCTGAGTCCCCTTCGGGGTGAGAAAGGTGGGATATAAATATTGTAAATAAATAAATAATAAATGTATTCTTTATTTCTCCAGTTCTAAGACTGCATATAAACATCTCCAAAACCGAGTCGCCGATAAGGCTGAGAAACACAGTATAAAAGTATAGTATATAAACAAATAATAAATTAACGAGGTGCGTCATAGAATCACAGGCGTATCTTATGTAGTTTTCTTCGTGTGCAAATGTTTTTTTCCCTACTTGGAAGAAATGGGACATGACGTGATCAGTTTACAGGAAACGCATCAACGGCCAAAGGACGAGAGACTGCTCCTCAACTTCAAATTGAGCCCCCACTTTGCAGATTTGATGAATCAGGAAAAAAAAAGTTTTCTGTACATTTGTTGGATTTATTGGTAAATTGGAGGAGAAATAAATCAAAATACTGTTTTGTAACCTATAACCTCTTGAGTAATCTCGTTGAAGGTTTACAATAGACTCGTGCTGGAGGACCCAGAAATGCCTAGAGAAGGGTTCTCTGTAGGAAGCCATCTCTAGGGCCATCTTTTAAAGTAATGTTTTTGTTAAGAATACAAACAGTTTTATCTCTGAAGAGTTCTCATTCTCAGTTGTATTTTTATATATATTGAATCAAAGATCCTTGTTCTCTTTGATGTATAAATCATTTAATAAACTCCTTAAAATGTGCTACTCGTTGGATGCATTTCTTAAATTTGTCATGACCTTTCCCAATTTTGTGTGGAACAAGGAAAGTAGGTCATGCCTTGCCAGGGTGGAGGGGCCAAGGTGGAGGTGCAAGGGAAAGAAACTGTCAGTTGGATCAGCTTCCCTATGCGGTCAGTGGTTCCCTTGATGTATGGCAGGAACACTTTTCCTCTGGGTGGATCTTCATCTTGACTCTCGTGGCTTGTTCTTGGTCTTGCAGCTCTTCTGATGTCTGAAGTGGAGTCTCCATTGGCCTGGAGAGCCCAGTTGAGGGGGTTCAGTTCATCTTGGAGGAGGAGGTGGGGTTCGCAGATTCTTTTTGCACGGTCTGCCAAAGCTTTAATGGGGCTTCTTTTTTGACTTGGGTGATGGTTGGAGTTTTGATGTAGATATCTATCTGTGTGTGTGGGTTTTCTGTAGACGGGTTTTCTGTAGACTAGTTATCCGCAAACCAGATCAACAATTGGGTCACACCGTCTACAGAAAACCTACACACACATACATCAAGGGAACCACTGACCGCATAGGGAAGCTGATGAGGAAACACAACATACAAACAATCTACAAGAAAATCCAACAAATGCTACGTTCAGCAAAGGACAAGAGGGATCCTCTCACCTCTGCAGGAGTCTACCGTGTACCATGCAGCTGTGGACAAGTCTACAGAGGACCACCAAACGCAGCAGCATTGCCCAGACACGCATCAAGGAACATGAAAGGCACTGCAGACTACTTCAACCAGAGAGAAGTCAGCCATAGCAGAGCACCTGATGAACCAGCCTGGACACAGCATATTATTTGAGAACACAGAAATGCTGGACCACTCTCACAACCACCATGTCAGACTACACAGAGAAGCCATTGATATCCACAAGAAGCATGTGGACAATTTCAACAGAAAGGAAGAGACCATGAAAATGAACAAAATCTGGCTACCAGTATTAAAAAACTCTAAAATTACAACAGCAAAACAGCAGAGAGGAAACAACCAGGCACATCTTAACACCTCTCAACAAGAGATTTTCCCAGGCTCAGCCAGGCCTACAACCAGGCACATCTTAACACCTCCCAGCAAGAGATTTTCCCAGGCTCAGGCAGGCCTTCAAATGCTAATGAAGGTGATCAGCTGAAACATTCACACCTAGCTCCAGCAGGGAAGAGCTCTTTGCCCCACCCCAGCCATTCCACAGATATATAAACCCATTGTCCTAATTCCAACAGACCTCACTACCTCTGAGGATGCTTGCCATAGATGCAGGCGAAACGTCAGGAGAAATGCCTCTAGAACATGGCCCTATAGCCCGAAAAAACCCACAAGAACCTAGTTGGAACTTTGTTTGCAACTGCACTGTATGCTTTGAGAAATAAAGCTTTCCCACTCTGTGCAGTTTTTAAAAGAGGAGATTCCACCAGAAAATGAGGAAGAACTTCCTAACTGTGAGAGAGCTGTTCAGCAGTGGAACTCTGTCTCTCTCTTCCCCGGAGTGTGGTGGAGGCTCCTTGTTTGGAGGCTTTTAAACAGGCTGGATGCTATAAGGAATAGAAGGAGGGCCGAGTAGTAGAAAAGATTTTAAATAATTTGAATTTATCAGATAGGGAAAGATATGAAAATAATCCCAACGCTGCTTCACCAAATTATGAAGAATATCACACCAAGGAACTTCTTTGAGCGGGGAGAAGGAACAGGAAATTCCGAAATAGTGAATCCCACCAAGGATCTCAGGTAGGATCACACCTCTGTGCCACCAATTATAATGAATATCACAGGAGGGAGATTGATAAAAATGAGAAAGATATAACTGTATATTTATATACGTGAATTGCATCTGAACTGAGAGGTTTTTAAACTTCTTCAATTGGGTATGCTGCCACATTATTGTTTAGTATTCAGGCTGAATTATACATGTGGAGAGGATACTTCGTAACACCCTTCTGTGCTACTATAGTGTTTATTTTCTTCAGAGGGTTTAAATTACTAATGACGTTCACACACAGGCTGTTGTAAAGTGTTAACTATAATAAAATGTTTATTTAACAGGCTTAAACTCTTCTGGTACAAATGCGTAATGGTTTCTGTAAGTTAATGGCACAAAAGCTTTTGGTTATGTTTGATGTACAATTCTTAGATGGGTACTGGGTCCAAATCTAGGGTTAACAAACAGGAGATTATCTCAGGAAATTAATCTCTGATGATAATTCCAAACCAAATTCCCACTTTCTGGAATCTAGCCAAACAACCTTTTGGCCTAGCCTTCCTCAAGGATAAAAGAAACAGGCCATAAGCAAGGTCTTGTTCCCTTCAGTATTCCTGACCAATTCCTCTAGCCCTTGAATACTACCAAAAGGTTAACTGAGCTCTCCTATCTAGCACTATCAAACTGTGAACACCAACCAGCTCCCAAACTCCCAACTGACAAAACTCAAGCCTCAAATTCAAAAAGTACACTTTTTCCCCTTATCTGAATGTTAGGCTCCGCCCCCATTTCCTAACCAATCCTGGCCATCTACTCTCAGCTTCCAGAACTAGGACACACCCCCTCTAGGAAAACCTATTCTAAGATGGCGTCTCCCTGTTTCCCTGATTTAAAATGGCCACCGGGCTTCACTAGGCCCACACTCTTAACAGCTTAGGCCGCTAGGCTTCGCTAGGCCTACATTCTGGCTGCTAAAGGTTCTTTACAGATGGCTATCTTGTCGGTGGTGCTTTGAATGCAATTTTCCTGCTTCTTGGCAGAATGGGGTTGGACTGGATGGCCCACCAGGTCTCTTCCAGCTCTATGTTTCTATTGTTAGTGTTCTGGAACAGCTGTTCCAGGAGCTCCAATTTTATTTGCTGGGAACTAAAGGTTTGTTTGCAATCTCAGGGTTGAAATTTTGCAACAGGGTGGCTTCCTATTATAGTTTGCAGTCATAGGGCAAGCCCCCTGTCCATCTTCATTTAGCTTTGGTTCCGCCCCTTTTTCTGGTTTTTGGGAAGAGGGAGGAACCATTTCAGTTAGTTTTCTACAGGGAAGTCAATGTACAGGATGTGTACAGATTTCCTCCTGTAAAAAGGCTTCGACCCTTAAGACCTCCCGGGGGAGAACCAGTCTTAAGATCATCTAAAGATTCTCAAAGGTTCCATGGAAACAGATTTACAACCCTGAAGAATTCTGGAGGGAATAATAGCTTTAAGCATCAAGGATTCTGGCTAAGTGATTACAAGCCTTTTGATAGGTTCACTCGGCGTTGAGACGCAGTTCAGCCCGGTAGTGAATCCACATCAATAAGGTTTAAGTTCATAGTTAGCTTGGGAGTAATTTAGAAAGGGGTTTTCCTTTAAAGTAAAGCAAAGAATCAGTTAGAAGCCGCCAGTTGTTTGAAGCCTGAAAGTATTTGTTTAACCCTTTGAAGACAAAAGGAGTTTCTGTTGATTGTTCACCAATAAAAACTTTGTTATTTCACAAGCCTTCTAAAGCCTGTTTATAGTGAAAATCCTTCAAAATTTCTCTTCGGGCCCCCTGGCTTCCTGTTGGGCCAAAAGGTGCACGTCCTGTTTTAAAGGCTCTTCGTTTCAAGCCCAGCAGCGACAGAACAGTTAGAGTTCATTTTTAAGTAGCAAGCAGTAAGTGATGTAAGGATCAAGACAGCAGGGAGAGAACCAAACCACCTGGCTAACATTGTGTGGTTACAGCCAGGGTGGGGCAGCTGCAAGGGGAATAAAGGGACCAAAGTACAGGGTTAGTCAAAATGAATAGGCCAATAAGAAAATTAATTTTAGACGAATGTATGTTTACTGTAACCAAACCACAGCTACGTAGCGACAGATAAACTATCAAAGTTTATTTTGAGCAACACACATGTACGTTAATGCCGCTAGGCGTCGCTAGGGGTCGCTGTTTTCAAAATGGCGGATTCAAGCAAAGAGAAGGCGTTTTGTGTGATGACATTTGCTAAAACAATGTCAGTAATTACGGTCCAGCGAGAATTTCGAGCCAAGTATGGCAAGGAACCACCTCATCGACATTCCATTGCGAGGTGGGTAAAGCAATTTGAGGAGACGGGCTGCTTATGCAAGGGTAAAACCACAGGACGACCACGTGTCTCCGAAGACACAGCTGCATTCGATGCCATTACGTCGGATGTGCTGCAACGGATGTGGAATGAACTGGACTATCGCTTGGACATCTGCCGTGTCACACGGGGCGCCCATATCGAACATCTCTGAAGGTGAGACAAAACTTTGATAGTTTATCTGTCGCTACGTAGCTGTAGTTTGGTTACAATAAACATACATTCGTCTAAAATTAATTTTCCTATTGGCCTATTCATTTTGACTAACCCTGTACTACTCCTTGCAGCGGGTTGTTGGAGGTGGTTGCTGGAGAGGTGCGTTTGGAGGAGTTTGCTGGAAGGAGTTTGGAGTTCTACAAGGCTTGTGTGTCAAAGAGAACATTTGGATACTATATTTATATATGTTCTTTTATATAAACTCTGCAAAAGACAAACAACTGAGTTTGTTCCTTGGTCAAAAGCAAAAGGCTTCCATGTTTGTGAGTGTCTACATTCATCTTCATCGTGACATCTATGACTCGGCGATTTACAACAAAAATGGGACACATTCAATGCCATAAGGAAACAAACAACCAATCAGTCAACAGAATAAATAAAACACCATCAATATAAACTTATAATAGCTAACCAAGAGCAACCAAATAGTAAGAGCTTACATAAACATAATATATCACATCACACACATTTATCAACATAATAAAACTAAACAGCAAAAATGCATTAAAAACATGGAGTGGTTTTCTGCGACCAACAAGGCTGAGGTCAAGAACTGTGGTGCTGGAGGAAAGTTCTGAGAGTGCCTTGGACAGCGAGAAGATCCAACCAGTCCATACTTCAAGAAATAAAGCCTGACTGCTCATTGGAGGGAAGGATATGAGAGGCCAAGATGAAGTACTTTGGCCACATCATGAGAAGAAAGGAAAGCTTAGAGAAGACAATGGTGCTGGGGAAAATGGAAGGAAAAAGGAAGAGGGGCCGACCAAGGGCAAAATGGATGGATGGTATCTTTGAAGTGACTGGGTTGACCTTGAAGGAGCTGGGAGCTCTCACGTGGACTGGTCCATGAAGTCACGAACTGTGCTGTCACGCACTGGGCCTATAGCAATTGGCTTTTGAACAGGACGTGCTCTTTGTGCCTCAGCTGAGGGAATATTGAGCATTTGAGCCAAATTTGGTCCAGATCCATAGTTGTTTGGGTTCATAGTCCTCTCCAGATGTAGGTAAACTACATCTCTCATAAATCACTGTCAATTCCTCCCAACCCCCTCCAGTATTTTCTTTTGGTAATGGGGGTTCTGTGTGTCAGGTTTGGCCCATGTATGTTATTTGTGGGGGTCTCAATGGTCTGTGGAAGTCAGAGCTGAGTTAGTTGCAGATCCCATCATCCATTGTCCATACTCCCCCAAACATAGTTTTTGTGATTAAGCACTATGCATTAATTATGTTCAATTTGTAATGAAAATACATTCTACATATCAGATATTTACATTACGATTCATAATAGTATCAGTTATGAAGTAGCAATGAAAATATGGTTGGGGGTCACCACAACATGAGGAACTGGTCACGGCATTAGAAAGGTTGAGAACCACTGTCTTAGCTGTTACTTGTTCATATTCCAATCTACACTAGTGCAAAAGCTGAGGTCCAAAGAAGGACCACAGAACGCGAGAGCATCTGGTGGACAAAAAAGGCTCAGGAAATCCAACACCTTGCAATGTCCATAATGCACAGGGATTCTTTAATTCCACAAAGGTCATCTATCACCCAACAAATCATGGCATACATATTCATCAGATGGAAACCAAACTTCTTGCACTACATTGGAAAGAGCACTACCACAACCTCCTTAAACACAGCTCCAATGTGGGCGAAGAGGTTATCTTGCAATCCCACAACAACAAACCAGGGATGAGCTTGCAGCACTGCTTAGTTTGGGGGAAGTCAGCAAGGCTATCAGCCAACTAAAAAACAACAAAGCCAGTGGACCTGATGGGATCCCTGCTGAAATCTTCAAAGAGGGTGGACCTGAGCTGACACAACAACTCCACCAGCTCATTGAAAAAGTGTAGGCCATCACACTCACCCATGAGTGATAGCCTATGATGATGATTTGAGATTTATTTATTTATTTATCATGTCAGGAGCGAACCAAACAGTTGTCTTGCATTAAAAACAAACAAAACACAAAGTTTGCAAACTTGGCATTCTATTAAATGTCCTTTGACCAGTAGTTGTCCACTTGGAGTGCCTCTGGTGTGGGGGACATGAGAGAAGACATCCGGTCGTTCCCTGGGCAACGTCTTCGTAGACGGCTGATTCCCTCACTCCAGAAGCGACAAGAAGCGACTTGTAGCATGCCACCCAACAATTATTTAAGTATATTTATATATTAGAATGCATACGAATATATAATATAATATATTGTTGTTGTTATATGAATTATTTTATCTTTGTGATATTTATATATGATATATCAAAATACACACACACACACATATATAGCATATTATTACATATATATTCTTATTATCATAATATATTTATTTTCACTCCAATTTTATCTCAGTGCCAATTATATATTAAGAACATATCTTATAAAATTATTATTATTATTAAAATAATATCTATATTTATTTGTATCCTGTTTTATCACAGTGAGAATCATAATATACATTGTATAATATAATACAGATAAATATTATTTTCTTCTTATGTTGTTGGAGCCAAGTCCTGCATGGGGCCAAAGAGGAAAAGCAAGTGAGGAGAGGCTAAAGAAGCCTCCACGCTTCCGGTTCCCATGCGAATGATCTTTGTTTATACTGGAAGGCCTTGGAGGGTGGAGCATGCGCACTGGCGCTCCCTTGCTCTCTGACTCTCTGCAGGTCGCTTGGGAACCTGAAGTATTGCCCCCCTTTGCCTTTGTGCCCAAGAAGCAGAGAAGGACTTTGCAAGGTTTGCATGGAGAGTGTTTCTCTTGTTGTTTTGGCTGGGAAGGGGGTCAATTAAGGCTCAGTTAATTAATGCACAGGGAAAATGAGCCCCCTTGTGCATTCATCTCAGTGCATTAATTAATTTTTGCAATAATTAATAATAAAAATAAGGGGGTTCCCTTTGAAAAGCAAAGGCTTATTGCATTAATTCATTTGCACTCATTGTTTTGCAAAGAAAAGGAAAAGGCTGGGGATTTTGGTACATTAATTAACGTGTGTGTGTGTTTATATCTATCTATAATCTCTATGGTTCGCTTGGGAACCCGAAGTGTTGCCTCCCTTTGCCTTTTGTGTCCAAGAAGGAGATTGCAAAGTTTGCATTGAGTTTCTGTTGTTGTTTGGGCTTGGAAGGGGGCTCATTAAGGCTCAACCAATTAATGCACGGGGATAATGCACATTGGCCTCTCTTTCCCTCAAATAATCCCAGTGCATGGATTATTTTTTGCAAAAAATAGAAAAGGGAGGAAGATTATTGGGTTAATGGGGGGAAAGGGGGCTGTTTAGGAATGCCTGGAGCAGGACAGGCCCTTTGCATGGAAAACATGAGTGCACTTTGGAAATGCAAGAAAGTAAAACCACAGTAAAAGTGCTGCCTGAAACAATGGGGCTGGACACCCTCTCTCCTTTCTTCTCTCCCCCTCTCTTTTCTCTTTCCCCCCTCTTTCTCCCCCCTTCTCCCCTAATAATCATAATTGTGTTGTCACACCCAGACACCCAGACCTGCCTCAGGGGAGCGTGCTTGCTCCACCCATGTTCAACATCTACACAAAAGTGGGTGCTAGAAACAATATCATACGAAAGCTGACTGGCACAACCTGGGGATCACAACCAGACACAGTGAAGACATCTGCCCTTGCGCTATGCTACTCTGCTGCTGAGTATGCATGCCCAGTGTGGAACACATCTCACCACGCTAAAACAGTGGATGTGGCTCTTAATGAGACATGCCGCATTATCACAGGGTGTCTGCGCCCTACACCACTGGAGAAATTACACTGCTTAGCCGGTATTGCACCACCTGACATCCGCTGGGAAGTAGCAGCCAATAGTGAAAGGACCAGCTCATCCCTTGTTTGGGTATCAGCCAGCACGTCAACGACTTAAATCAAGAAATAGTTTTCTTAGATCTACAGAGACACTCGCTGGAACACCTCAGCAAGCGAGAGTCCAAAAGTGGCAGGCTCAAACCCAGCACCTCAATCCGTGGGTGATACCAGATGAGAGACTCCCCCCTGGGCACACAGAAAACTGGGCGACTTGAAAGGCTCTGAACAGACTGCGCTCTGGCACTACAAGAGGCAGAGCCAACCTTAAGAAATGGGGCTACAAAGTGGAATCCACGACATGCGAGTGTGGAGAAGAGAACCTTCTGGCAATCAAACTAGTCCAATGTGGGCTAGGCAAAACTACGGTGAGGTGGATCTGTAATTGGTTAAATGGATGAACCCAGAGGGTGCTCACCAATGCTTCCTCTTCATCCTGGAAAGAAGTGACGTGGAGTGCCGCAGGGTTCCGTCCTGGGCCCGGTCCTGTTCAACATCTTTATTAATGACTTAGATGAAGGGTTAGAAGGCAGAATCATCAAGTTTGCAGACGACACCAAATTGGGAGGGATAGCCAATACTCCAGAGGACAGGAGCAGGATTCAAAACGATCTTGACAGATTAGAGAGATGGGCCAAAACTAACAAAATGAAGTTCAACAGTGACAAATGCAAGATACTCCACTTTGGCAGGAAAAACGAAATGCAAAGATACAGAATGGGGGACAATGCCTGGCTCGAGAGCAGTACGTGTGAAAAAGATCTTGGAGTCCTCGTGGACAACAAGTTAAACATGAGCCAACAATGTGCTGTGGCGGCAAAAAAAGCCAATGGGATTTTGGCCTGCATTAATAGGGGCATAGTGTCCAGGTCTACCCCTCTATTCTGCTCTGGTTAGACCACACCTGGAATATTGTGTCCAATTCTGGGCACCACAATTCAAGAGAGATATTGACAAGCTGGAATGTGTCCAGAGGGGCGACTAAAATGATCAAGGGTCTGGAGAACAAGCCCTATGAGGAGCGGCTTAAGGAGCTGGGCATGTTTAGCCTGAAGAAGAGAAGGCTGAGAGGAGATATGATAGCCATGTATAAATATGTGAGAGGAAGTCACAGGGAGGAGGGAGCAAGCTTGTTTTCTGCTTCCCTGGAGACTAGGACGGAACAATGGCTTCAAACTACAAGAGGAGATTCCATCTGAACATTAGGAAGAACTTCCTGACTGTGGGAGCTGTTCAGCAGTGGAACTCTCTGCCAGAGTGTGGTAGAGGCTCCTTCTTTGGAGCTTTTAAACAGAGGCTGGATGGCCATCTGTCAGGGGTGCTTTGAATGCAATTTTCCTGGTTCTTGGCAGGGGGTTGGACTGGATGGCCCATGAGGTCTCTTCCAACTCTTTGATTCTATGAAACCAGTGACCACCTGCTGCAATGCAACCTGAGCCCTGCCACATGCACAAGGGAGGACCTTCTTGCGGCAACACCAGAGGCACTCCAAGTGGCCAGATACTGGTCAAAGGACATTTAATCAGCTACCAAGTTTGCAAAATTTGTGTTTTTTTAATCTGTTTGTTTTGTTCTGTTAGAAATGTAATACAATGTTCTGGTTGCGGATGACACGATAAATATAAATCTACACAAATGACCAGCCACTGCCAGAAGGGACAGAGAGTTTAGTCTATGCTGATGATCTTGCCATTACTGCTCAAGCAGGGAGCTTTGAGTTGGTTGAACAGAAGCTCTCGGAGCTCTAGGTGCCCTTACTGCCAATTACAGGGAAAACCAGCTGATCCCTAATCCATCCAAAACACAGGCATGTGCCTTCTATCTCAAGAACAGACAAGCATCCCGAGCTCTGAGGATTATTACCTGGGAAGGAATCCCACGGAAGCATTGCAGCGCACGCAAATACCTGGGAGTGACCCTGGACCATGCTCTGACCTACAAGAAGCATTGCCTGAATATCAGGAGTACTGTGCTTCAAAACTTTGTCTGTCTGAATCCGGAAGTCCCAGAGGAGTTTGGCGTGTTCATTCTCTGTAACTTTTTCCGGCTTATGATCCCACCAGTTCTTTGTCACAGGCAGATGGTGTTTGTGGCACAAGTTCCAATGAATCATCTGAGCAACGGTGTTGTGCCTCTGCTTGGAGTCTGTCCGTGATCTTCTTGCAGCAGCTGAGGATGGGATCTATTGTTTCATCTGCTTCCTTGCAGAGTCTACACTTGGGATCTGTTGTCGACTTTTCAATTCTGGCTTTCATGGCCTTGGTTCTAATGGCTTGTTCTTGGGCTGCCAGAATCAGGCCCTCCTTTGTCTCCTTTTTCAGAGTCCCATTTGTGAGTCACAGCCATGTTTCTTCCTTGTCAATTTGGCTCTCAATTTTTCCCACGAACTGTCCATGGAGATTGTTGTTGTTGTTATGGTTGGGGTTCCCCTACAACATGAGAAACTGTATTAAAGGGTCACGGCATTACGAAGGTTGAGATCTACTGCTTAAGCAGATTAATATTGGAAAAACTCTATTCCTTCTTTTCAGGGTCCTGTGGCTTTCGGAGAAGGGGCTGCGTGTGGAGGAAGCATGGATCGGGGTGACTTGTCCACGGAGGTCCTGGTGGAGGATCAAGGCCAGGAGGCCTCTCCGGGTCAGGACTCTCTCTCTCATTGTCTCATTCCTTTGGATTTCCCTTTTGCTTTGTTGTATCTCCAGACACCTGGAAGATCCCAATAGATATTTAGCTTTAAATGAAACTTTAATTTGTTGTATTTAAATTTGTAGCTGTGACACAAATATTTAATGGAGCCTGGGGATAATGGGATACATGAGCTTTGGAATCAGCACGTGGCTTTGAGTGGGAGACCCACCCCCGGCCGCCTTTATTCTGCCCTGCAGGGAAAGCTCCTGGCACCCCCAATGGATGGCAATCAAGCCTTTGTGATGATAATAATAATATCATGGGGATGGAGTGCGAAAAGGTGTCACGGGTTACTTCACCATATGTTCAGGAGTATTTGTTCAGTCTTACAACTACAAAGGGACCACTGAAGGCCACCATAATAAGGCTGATGTGGCCCTCCATAGAGTAGCAATGGAGGACAGAGACATTTCTAGAGGGAACCCTTTTCCTCGGAGGTCCTCCGACTTAATACTAGGGTCGGCCTACCATTAAAGTGGAGAATCTACTGCATAATTGTCTTATCTCATCCTCAAAGGGACCATTGAAGGCCACCATAATAAGAATGATGTGCTCCCTGGTAGGGTTGCATTGAAGGACAGAGACATTTCTAGAGGGAATTCTTTTCCTTGGAGGTCCTCCGACTTAATACTAGGGTCGGCCTACCATTAAAGTGGAGAATCTACTGCATAATTGTCTTTTCTCATCCTCGAAGGGACCATTGAAGGCCACTATAATAAGAACAATGTGCTCCCTGACAGGGTTGCACTGAAGGACAGAGACATTTCTAGAGGAAACTCTTTTCTAGCCCTTGGAGGTCCTCCGGGCCATTTTCTAGGGTCAACCAATCATTAAAATGGAGAATCTACTGCATAGTTAGTCAAACACGGCCACCAATCAATGGCTGCCAACAACATCTCTTATCCAGACTCACCACCAGCTCTTCTTCCCTCATCCTTTCTTCACATTATGGTCAGAAGAGGGGTCCTTCTCATGGTCACATGGGATGTCTGTCATCCACACTCACCACCAACTCTTCTTTCCTCGTCTTTCCTTCAGATTATGGCCAGAAGAGGAATCCCTTCTTAGAGGTCACATGGGATGTCTGTTATCCACACTCACCCTCAGCTCTTCCTTCTTCGTTCTGTCTTCAGATTATGGCCAGAAGAGGGGTCCTTCTCATGGGTCACATGGGATGTCTGTCATCCACACTCACCCTCAGCTCTTCTTTCCTTCAGAGTATGGCCAGAAGAGGGGTCCTTCTCATAGGTCACAGGRGATGTCTGTCATCCACACTCACGCTCAGCTCTTCTTCCCTCAGAGTATGGCCAGAAGAGGGGTCCTTCTCATTGGTCACATGGGATGTCTGTCATCCACACTCACCCTCAGCTCTTCCTCTCTCATCCTTCCTTCAGATTATGGCCAGAAGAGGGGTCCTTCTCATGGGTCACATGGGATGTCAGTCATCCGCACTCACCCTCAGCTCTTCCTCTCTCATCCTTCCTTCAGAGTATGGCCAGAGGAGGGGGTCCTTCTCATGGGTCACATGGGATGTCTGTCATCCGCACTCACCCTCAGCTCTTCCTTCCTCATTCTTCCTTCACATTATGGCCAGAAGAGGAGTCCTTCTCATGGGTCACATGGGATGTCTGTCATCCACACTCACCTTAGCTCTTCTTCTCGCGTCCTTCCTTCAGATTATGGCCAGAAGAGGGGTCCTTCTCATGGGTCACATGGGATGTCGATCATCCACACTCACCATCTGCTCTTCTTCTCTTGTCCTTCCTTCAGATTATGATCAGAAGAGGAGTCCTTCTCATGGGTCACATGGGATGTCCTTGAGATCCTCTCGGCAGAGAACAAAGGATGGAGGAGGAGGAGATGTGGAGAGGCGACCAAGGAGGGACAAGACCCTCACAGATCAGAACGAAAGCACCTCTCTAATCCCAAATCAGAAGGTAGGGACCAGGACCTGATGCACCTTTTGTGGAAGCCCTTGGGCTCCAGGTCACACCCTCTCAGCCTCAGAGCAAGTTTTGCCATCAGCTCCACTTTGCTTCCTTGGCTGTTGAAGGGGTGCAGACCATGTCCTTCAATTCCGTGGCTTTCTGCTTCAAACGGGGGCTCAGGCTGGGTCTTTCCAGGGAGGAACCACCTAAATGGCACCAGCTCAGGCCTTTTCTTGGGAGTCACACTCTCTCGGCCTCTGAGTAAGGTCTAGGCGCACCCCTTTTCCGGATACCCCTTCCTAAGGTTACATCTTCATTATATTGCTTTCTTCCTTATGGGGTGTGTGTCCCAACTGTGGCCTTCAGGGCTACGTTTTTTTGTCCCCCTGGTGCGGCAATTCAAACAAAACGGGACTTTGTCTTCCAACATCAGCTCCTTTCCATGCGTATACCGACCTCTTGTGGCTGCACCTAAGTGCTGCATACACACATACCTATAGGCCAGAAGCTAATCTTCTATATCTATTTACTCCCTCTTCTGGTTGCCTTTGAGCACTGCATGTATTTATGTTTGCTTGTTCCACAAACGCTTCTACATGGCTTGATGGATCTGGACCAAACTAGCCACACATACCTGTCTCTACCCAACTTAAAAGAATTGTGAGGTTTCAGCAACTCCAAAAGCCACGTTGTTTTGGGGTGAGACCCCCAAAAGTAAGAAATACATATGTAGTGTTCAGATGCAACCACAAGAGGGCAGATTATAGATACAAAGGATTGGTTACTGGACAATAGATATGTAGGTATGCAGTCCTCTGACCACTGTAGGGACATGTATTGAAGGCCCAGCATGAGACCTAGGATTAGATGAAAAACCATAGCCCTGAAGGCCATGGCTAGCACTAACAGAACAAATCATACCATTGTAAAGCTAACACTGAGTAAAGAGGAACTTCAACTTAAGAGCATCCCAACTTAAAATAGAGGTTTAGGTTAAGAGACGTTGCTCAGCCCTGCTTTTGCTTTGACATATGAGCAGCATTTTGAGTTAAGTGCTTCCTCCATAGGAAGATCTAGTGCAAGAGTACAGGGCTTTAGGGCTCCAGGGGAGCAGCCTCTATGCCTCGTGCCTCCATGCTCTTGTCCGCATTGGGAGATTGCTATCTGTTTTGCTCTGGCCCACTTTGAGGACCTTTGGGATACTTGATTTTGTCTGGTTTTTATTCCTGGAATGTTTGGCATCATGAAGAGAGAGAGAGCAAGAGAGGGAAGGAGACTGGAATAAGTACAGTAGGAAGAAAAGGACGCCCTTGCCTCTTCACTTTGTGCTTCTGCCATTCTAAAAAAGTTGATCTTCCTTTTTTATTGTTCCATGCAAATGTGCATCTATACATTATTTGTTATTGATAAAGTACATTTTCTTACAAACATGTAACAAAAATGTGGGTCGGGGAGACAAAACATATTAATAGCATTTCAGTGGGAAAATTTGCTTTGAGGGAATAGTCTTTTAAGTTAACAACTTGGTCGCTGAATAAATCGAACACTTAAGTCAAGGTATCACTGTATTTCTCATAAATAGAATTAGAAAACGCATACCTGGGCAACAGTGGGTACATAAGATCTCTATCTTGTAAAAGTTTTCTATCTACTCATTACTCAAAGTAGACTTCAAACCCTTTGTCCACATTTTCCTTCATTATTCCAAATGCATTTGGGAAGCTATATTTTGGGCCCATGTAACCATATGATCTCTTGCTTGTTCTTTTTCCATTTCATATTTTAACAAGTGTTTGTACATTTTTGCAATCAGGGAATTCGTACAGAGAATAAATCGGAGTGTGGAAAGAGCTTCACTGAAGGCGGAGGTCTACATTCATATCCAAGAGCCTATTCTGTGGAGAAACCCTATAAATGCCTGGAGTGTGGGAAGAGTTTCACTCAAAAAGCACATCTACAGAGACATCACCGAATTCACACTGGGGAGAAACCCTATGAATGCTTTGAATGTGGGAAGAGCTTCAATGCTAGTGGAGGACTACATTCACATCAAAGGACACACACAGGGGAGAAACCCTATACATGCTTTGAATGTGGGAAGAGCTTCACTACTAGTGGAGGACTGCATTCACATCAAAGGACACACACAGGGGAGAAACCCTATACATGCTTTGAATGTGGGAAGAGCTTCACTGCTAGTGGAGGACTACATTCACATCAAAGGACACACACAGGGGAGAAGCCCTATAAATGCCTTGAGTGTGGGAAGAGTTTCACTCAGAGTGCACATCTACAGACACATCACAGAATTCACACTGGGGAAAAACCCTATAAATGCATGGAGTATGGGAAGAGGTTCACTAAGAGTAGAAGTCTGCGTTCACACCAAAGGACGCACACAGGGGAGAAGCCCTATAAATGCCTGGAGTGTGGGAAGAGATTCACTCAGAATAGTAATCTACGTTCCCATCAAAGGACTCATATTCAGGAGAAATCATACAAATGCATGCAGTGTGAGAAGAGCTTCACTCAGAGGACACATCTACAGAAACATTACAGAATTCACACTGGGGAGAAACCCTATAAATGCCTGGAGTGTGGGAGAAGCTTTGCTTATGACTCGGGTCTGAAAGAGCACCTGAAGATCCACACTGGGGAAAAACCCTTTACATGTCCTCAGTGTGGAAACAACTTCCGTAGTAGTTGTGCCCTCAAATCACACCAGAAGGTTCACACCGGAGAAAAACCCTATGCATGTCCTGAATGCGGAAGACGCTTTGCTCATAAGTCGACCCTAGTTGTACACCGGAGGGTGCACATGGGGGAAAAGCCATACGAATGCTCTGATTGTGGGAAGACCTTCCATCAGAGACCACACCTCGTTGTGCACCGGAGAGTTCATACGGGGGAGAAGCCCTTCCGGTGTGCTGAATGCGGAAAAACCTTTACTCAGACAAGCCACCTTACCGTCCACCGGAGAATCCACACAGGAGAGAGACCTTATCCCTGCACCGTGTGTGGGAAGGCTTTTAAAACGGGGAAGGCCCTTAGTGGCCATCAAAGAATCCACACTGGAGAGAAGCCCTATACGTGTTTGGAGTGCGGGAAAAGCTTCGCTCAGAGCGCAGCCCTTTCTATACATCGGAAAACCCACACTGGAGAGAAGCCGTATCCCTGCTTCGAGTGTGGAAAGAGCTTCAGAAGTGGGCCAGAACTCACTTGTCACCAGAGGATCCACTCTGGGGAGAAACCATATCAATGCTCTGAATGTGGACAGCGATTCAGTCAAAGCTCAAACCTTGCTACACATAAAAAGGTTCACAAAAAGGGGAAACTATAGCCAAACTTCATGTGAGGGGAAAAAATACTCTTCTGCATCTTATGTGACCAATTTAAGGCTAAATCTGGCCTACCATGTCATTGTATTGATTCAATAATGTAGATGCCCTCTTAATTCTACCAGTAACCACACATCTTATCAGATCCATACAAGAAAGGAAACAGTTTTTCATATGGTTGTCATCCTATGAAGGAATACACACATTTGATATATTTGGAAATAATTGCCATGGTTTTTTAAAATAAAAGTTTGTACCAGGAGCTCCAACTTGCTTCTTATTCTTTGAGTGTTTGCATGTATTCCAAAGTTCCATGCGTTTTGAAATAAGGTGGTTTCCCTTAGTTTGCAGTTATAGGGCCAATGACCCATCAATTATCATTAGGTTCTTTAGTTCCGTCCCTTTTTCTGGGTTTAGGAGGGAAAAAGGGGACCTCCAGTTCAGTTTACACAGAGAAGCCTTTCATACAGGAAGTGAATCAGTTCCACCTGTAGAAAGCTTTGTCTTTTACAGCTTTGCTGGGGGGATCCAGTCCCACAGCTCTACAGAGAAGCATAGCTTTTGCTGGGGGGGATCCTGTCCCACAGCTCTACAGCCAGCTCTTTGCTGGAGAATTACAGCTCCACGGTTTTACAGCCAGCCTTCGCTGGGAATTGAAGACCTTCTTTCCTCTTGGAAATCTACAAAAGGACTCTGTTTGGTAAGGACCACTCGCCGCAGCCATAACACAATTTGGACCGGGTGTAGGGGCCCACGCCAGCAGAGCCTAAGACAGATTGCCCAGATAGAGGTCAAGGATTTCCCTGATAGTGAAGAAACAGTTCATGAAGATAGTTGCCTGTCCCTTGTGGACAAGATTAAGAAAGCCACCGGTTGATTCAAAGCCTTGAAGTATTTGTTTGATTTATTGAAGACCTAAGCAATAATAAAGAACTTTGTTAAACCTTTAAGCTTCTAAAGACTTTGTATAGGGAAATCCAGAAGGCCTCTCACCCGAGGCACCCCCGGCGTCCTGTTGGGCATATAGAAAACACGTCCTGTCTACAGACTCTTTCCAGCGCATGACAGCACAAAGTCTGAGAGTTGGTGTAAATTTTCCAAAAGTATACATTCTTTATTTCTCCAGTTTTAACACTCAATTTTTTTTCTTGTATAGACATCTCCAAAAATGAGATTCATCATATGAGCGTTGAATGAAAAGTAATGCCTCCACCTTCATAATTCCTCAACAGATTTATTATTTATTTTATTTACGCCATTTCTGCCCCTCCCATATCAGCCCGAAGGTGACTCAGGGCGGCAAACAAGTTGGCACAATTCGATGCCATATAAAAATATATACATCAATAAAAATTGAGAAAAACATCACAATGTATCTAAATGCAGATGGCAGTACTGCAGCAGGTACTAGCTTGTTCAGTAGACTCTCCTCTACAGTTCCGTTTTGGTGGGAAGCCTTCACATTGAACAGTTGTGCTGTTAAAGTGTAAAGTATGGAACCTGCGCACACGTTTGGTCAATGCAACTTAAGCAACATGCAGTAATTGAATTCTTGACAGCAGAAGGTGTCACCCCAAAGGAGATTCATCAGGGAATGCCAGCTGTTTATGATGATTGTGTTGATGTGGGGACATCATTATGCTTCTGATGAAGATGTTGAGACAACTGTGAGACGCTGGTTGCGGAAGCAGAGTGTCGACTTCTTCCGTGACGGCTTCAGAAAACTTGTTCGTTGGCAGAAATGTATCCAATTGTCTGGTGATTATGTGGAAAAGTGAATAGTGGTTGTCCATAGTTGGCAGAAACGTATCCAATTGTCTGGTGATTATAGCGGTAGGTAAAGAGCACATTCTGAGGATTATTTCTGTGTTTGATTTATTAAAATACAGGGTTAGTCAAAATGAATAGGCCAATAAGAAAATTAATTTTAGACGAATGTATGTTTACTGTAACCAAACCACAGCTACGTAGCGACAGATAAACTATCAAAGTTTTGTCTCACCTTCAGAGATGTTCGATATGGGCGCCCCGTGTGACACGGCAGATGTCCAAGCGATAGTCCAGTTCATTCCACATCCGTTGCAGCACATCCGACGTAATGGCATCGAATGCAGCACATATGTGCTGTTTTAAGTCGTCCAAGGTCAGCGGTAATGGAGGTCGGAACACAGTGTCTTTCACATACCCCCAGAGAGAAAAGTCGCATGGTGTGAGGTCGGGGGACCTGGGGGGCCACAGGAGGAATGGAAGATCAGTCACTCCAGCACGGCCAATCCAACGTCTGGGAAGGTGTTAGTTGAGGTACTCGCGTACACTGTTGTGCCAATGCGGAGGGGCACCTAGCGACGCCTAGCGGCATTAACGTACATGTGTGTTGATCAAAAGAAACTTTGATAGTTTATCTGTCGCTACGTAGCTGTGGTTTGGTTACAGTAAACATACATTCGTCTAAAATTAATTTTCTTATTGGCCTATTCATTTTGACTAACCCTGTATTCCAATCCAAACCCAAGTAACGAAGGTGGAGGCATTACTTTTCATTCAACCCTCGTAGAATCGCAGGTGTATCTTATTCTCTTGGTGCACAGGTGTGTTTTTCACTACTTGGAAGACACTGGACATGACTTGATCCATGGAATGCCAACCACTTTGATTGTCTTGGTGGATGGTCTTCAGGGGGACTGAACAGGAGGAGTGTCACCCTTCTGGTCCTCCTAGATCTCTCAGTGGCTTTTTGGTACCATTGACCATGATATCCTCCTGGAGCAACTGACAGGGATGGGCCTTGGAAATTGAAGTGGTTCCAGTCCTTCCTTATGGGATGTCTCCAAAAGGTGGTGTTGGGGAAGTCCTGTTCGGCCCCATGACCTGTGGAATGTGGAGTTCCACAGGGGTAATTATTATCCCTGATGTTATTTAACATCTACATTAAACTGCTGGGAGGGATCATCCAAAGTTTTGGAATTCGATATCATCTGTATGCAGATGATGCCCAACTCTATTGCTCCTTTCCATCTGACACTGTTGTATATCGGCCTGTTCAGCCTGTTGTGGTATCTAATGTTCATGTTGATGTTCATGAATGAGGGAATGGGGATGGCGATTCAGTTGCTGGGCCAGGGTCTCTTGGATTTGGGGATGTGGCATCTCTTCTGAATTAAGCTCAGAAGAGAGGCACATGCCTGAGAAGGACCTTTCACCGCTGTTCCCACAACAGCTATCTGAGAATGAAGCTGATTTTGATTTAGCTGTTGGGTTTCATCCCTGACTGCAAAAGTCTCCAGCTCCCAATGAGTAATTAGTAGTGTCACGTTGCCAGGGCTCTACCTATTTAGGTAGAGATTAATCAAACTCCCAGTTTTATCAAACAGTTCAATTAAAACAGCACTTACTTGCTGGCTGTTTTAATAGACCAAAATATAAAACACAAAGATAACACTCAGCTACAGAATAAACAAAAACTGATAGCAAAAATAACTTCGTAGTCAAAAGGGTCCAGTCCAGTGGTCAAACGCCAAGAGTTCAATAACAGAGTCCAGGGATCAAGAGTCTATACCGTAGTCAAAGCCAGTCCAAAGGTTCAAGGTTCCAGGGTTCCAAGATTACAGGAGACAGGTCAGGATACCGAAAATCCAACAGACCTGGGGGAAAAACCAGCACCACCCACCACCAAAATGCAACAAATACTTTTTTCCCAAAGATCAGACTCAAGGTTAGCTCCTTAAATCCAGTAACACCCAGCTGCAACCCATCTCCTGCACACCTCCACCCTTAATTGCTTTTACCTGTAAATTGTTACTCAGCCCCTTAGAAAGAAGACTTACATTAACCCTTCCATCACCAACTACCAGGTCTACCACCACCAACCAACATCAACTATGGAACATATGACAAGTAGGCATGTGCAATTAGGCCTGGGTAACAACGGAAAAATTTGTTTCTAAAATCGATTCGTTTTTTGGGTTTTTTTGCGTTTCGATATTTAAAAGAATTCTGATTTTTTTTTAAAAAAAGTTCGATATTTACGAAATTTCGTAAATGGTAAAAAAATTACAAAACAATAACGAAACAATAACGAATCGATTCGTTAATGGCGGACGCGACCGCGCAATACGCTAAAAAACCTCCAAATGGGACAGGGGGAACTTCTGAAGCTTCCCTCTCCCTCTGTTGTTGACTGTTGGTGTGATATTATAATTTTTTTCACTAATTAAACAAAAAACAACTATAAAACTTGCCCCAGACATGCGGAAATAATAAGGAAACGACCTCAAACCAATAACGAAACGAATACATAACGAAATACGAAGCATTTACGAAACGAATTGAAAATTCGTTTCGTTTTTAAGTTGCTCCAGAATGGTTCGTTATCGCTTCGTTAACAAAAAAAAAACGAATTTTTAACGAATTACGAATTAACGAAACGAAACCGCCCAGCCCTACAATCCATGGTTCTAAATGGTTCTAAAGTACTTAAAAAACTAAAGTTCTAGTGGTGAAAACTAGGAGGCGCTGGAGCTTTGCTTCTACAGTTTGCTAAAGTTCGGGTGGTGAAAATTCCAGAACTCTAACAAAACTTTCAAAATTTCATTATAAATGGCAGTTCCTAATTGGTTCTGTCATAAAAATAACAGGCGAGAGAGGCTTCACACAAGGCCACGCCTTGAGAGGAGCCCCCATTGCCTGGCTAATGACCTCGCCAGCCTGCAGGCGAGGGAGGCTTCGCCCAGCCATTTTGAGCAGGCGAAAGGGCGGGTCCAAAGGAGGCAGTCTCGTGAACCCTCCTAATTCGCCAAACGACCCCCTTGGAGGTCGCAACCCCCAAGTTGAGAACCACTAATCTAAGTCATTAATCAAGATCCTGAACAGAACTGGGCCAGGATGGAGTCCTGTTTATGGCACTCTACTTGTCATTTCTTTCCAGGAAGCATTTGGGGAGGATCACCCTCTGGGTTCGTTCTCTTATCCATCCTCATCTACTTTAAAGTAATGTGTGTCATCTGTGGTCATTTTTTGTTCTTTTGATGTTCTGCTCTAAACCTTTTGATCTTCTGCTCATCATTCCAACCCTTTGCTGTTTTCTGATAGCAATGTCATCTGCGTTGCTTAAATTAGGGGCAAGACCCAGGCAATAGGGGCTCTGCTCGATGCCTGGCCTCGCATGAAGCCTCCCTCGCCTGGCTCTTCCTGCTTGCCAGCTGGTGGAGTTCCAAAGCAGGTGTGGGAGAGTTTGCCTGAGGTCTCGAGCGGAGTTACCCTCGCCTGGCTCGCAACCCTGCCTGGCGATGAGGGCAAGAGCCAGGCAATGGGGGCTCCGCTCGAGGCCTGGCCTTGCACGAAGCCTCTCTCACCTGGCTCTCCTTGCTTGCTGGCAGGTGGGGTTGTGAGGCAGATGGGAAGGTTTCACCCGTGGCCAAGCCTTGAGTGGGGCCACCCTTGTTATCGAGACTGAATTTGGTAGGGTCTCCTTGTTTTCTGTCAAATTATATTCTTAAAAATAGAAAGGTTATTTCCCGGGCGTAGGGGTCCAAAATAAGAAAAGCAAGATAGCAGTTTAGTTTAGAATTAAGCACAGAAAAATATGGTATTAAAACGGAGACGATCCGCCATTTTGAGTTTTTAGCGGATACGGGCCCCTGAAAGGGAGATTCCTGTATCCGCGGTTTCAATTGACATAGATCCGGCATCCCTGGGACGCCCGAAAGGCATCCCAGACAGGCTCACGGCTCTCTGGAACCTGGAAAAGGGTTTATTTCATGCATTGGTTAGCTCAGGCAAGTGAAGGACACAAAGTATCAAGCGGAAAAGTTAAAAGTTGCAATTCTCAAGCACTTTTATTAGGGATTAGATACAAAGTCAGGGCTAGAGGGAAAGTAACAGAGGTTGAGTGCAGTCCTAGTTTGAGCTATCTGTTGGGGCATCAGTTTATCCCAATTTTGGCTTCCAGGAACTGCGGAACTCTCCGCTGCAGTGCGGACCAATTACTGGGCGGGGGCCCTCGATACCACCCTCACCTGGCTCACAACCCTGTCGGCCGGTGAGGGCGAGAGCCAGGCAAAGGGGGCTCCACTCGAGGCCTGGCCTCGCATGAAGCCTTCATCGCCTGGCTCTCCCCGCTTGCCAGCCGGTGGGGTTATGAAACAGGCAAGGGAGGCTTCGCCCAAGGCCATTCCTTCCCAGGTGGTCCTCAGAGCTCAAGATGCTTAACTGTTCTTAAGGTGAAAAGCACATGCCTGCATTTTAGATGGATCAGGAATCAGCTGGCTTTCCCTGTAATAGGCAGTAAGAGCACCTAGAGCTTCAGAGAGCTTTTGTTGAACAGTTTCAAAGCTCCCTGCTTCAAGTGGTGATGGCACCATCGTCAGCATAGATGAAACTCTCTGTCCCTTCTGGCAGTGGCTGATCATTTGTGTACACAGTATATACACAAGTTGGTGAAAATTACTATTTTGGAGAACATTCCCCAGCATTCCAAGAAAGACAGGTTTCCCATGGTCTGGATATTGGAGTACACAGAATGGCAATATCCAAGTTAGATTCCTAAAAGTGACTTAGAACGTATTCCATACCACCATTCCCATCTCATGATATTATTTCATTGGAAGATGGATTATGTGACAAGTGTGTTGTTGGAGGCTTTCATGGCTGTAATCACAGTGTTGCTGTGAGTGTTCCGGGCTGTCTGGCCATGTTCCAGAAGCATTCTCTCCTGACGTTTGGCCCACATCTATGGCAGGCATCCTCAGAGGTTGTGAGGTCTGTTGGAAACTAGGCAAGTGAGGTTTATACATCTGTGGAATGATGTCCAGGGTGGGAGAAAGAACTCTTGTCTGCTTGTGGCAAGTGTGATGTTGCAAGTGCTATTTGGGACATTTCTCTCCCCTCCGCTGAACGGCTCTCACAGTCAGGAAGTTCTTCCTCATGTTCAGATGGAATCTCCTCTCTTTTGGCAACTCCCCTTGCTGTTAAGTCTTTAAGTGCGGCATTGTTTGCTTTCTGCTTTGGAACTGCAGTTCTTTTTCTTGAATAATCCGGATTATTTTCCGTTTGCCTTCTCAAACCAAGTTTGGTTAGTTTTTTGAGTTTTGGCCAGAGACACTGAAGTTAAGTGTCTCTGAGCTTCTGTTTCTGTTTGCTACAATAAACTTTTGTTGGACTTAATACAGTGTGTGGCTCTTTAAGGTATCTGTGTCTCGACAGTAATTATAGTATATATTAAAATACATATAAATATATCTTGTATTATTGGTTGATTTGGCCGGGGTGGTCCGGCCAAAGAGAGATATTGACAAGCTGGAATGTGTCCAGAGGAGGGCGACTAAAAGGATCAAGGGTCTGGAGAACAAGCCCTATGAGGAGCGGCTTAGGGAGCTGGGCATGTTTAGCCTGAAGAAGAGAAGGCTGAGAAGAGATATGATAGCCATGTATAAATATGTGAGGAGGGAGCAAGCTTGTTTTCTGCTTCCCTGGAGACTAGGATGAGGAACAATGGCTTCAAACTACAAGAGAGGAGATTCCATCTGAACATTTGGAAGAACTTCCTGACTGTGAGAGCCGTTCAGCAGTGGAACTCTCTGCCCCGGAGTGTGGTGGAGGCTCCTTCTTTGGAAGCTTTTAAACAGAGGCTGGATGGCCATCTGTCAGGGGTGATTTGAATGCAATAATCCTGCTTCTTGGCAGGGGGTTGGACTGGATGGCCCATGAGGTCTCTTCCAACTCTTTGATTCTATGCCTTGGTCACCTCTAGATTGGATTACTGTAACGCACTCTACGTGGGGCTGCCCTTGAAAATGGCTCGGAAATTCCAACTGATTCAACGGGTGGCGGTCAGGATGTTAACCAGCGCTCCTTACAGAGAGAGGTCAACCCTCCTGTTTAAGGAGCTCCATTGGCTGCCGTTTACCTACCGAGCCCAATTCAAGGTGCAGGTGCTTACCTACAAAGCCCTGAACGGTTTGGGACCTGCCTACCTGCGTGACCGCATCTCCGTTTATGAACCCACGCGCTCCCTTCGTTCATCCGGAGAGGCCCTGCTCGCGATCCCACCTGCGTCGCAGGCGCATTTGGTGGGGACGAGGGACAGGGCCTTCTCTGTGGTTGCCCCCCGACTCTGGAACAACCCTCCCCACGAAGAATATAAAAAGGAACAAGCAAACGTCCGAAAACAGACAAAAGACAGCAAAAACAAGGGACAACAAAGACAACAAACGAGGGCACACAACCGACAAACGCGATTAGACACGAGACTGACGGAACAAAAAGAACAAACCACGCGAAGACAAGAAACCAACAAACACAAATCCTAACGAAAACGCAGGCACACGGAAAAAAACACAAAATAACACCTACCAAAACGAAACAACACTAAAGCCTCCCAATCAGGACTGGTTGACCTGGCAAAGACATTAGACCAGCACCCACGTTGGCAGTCTTTAGGAAGAACTTGAAGAGCTGGCTATTCCGATGTGCCTTTCCGGAATAGGATAACCTCCAGTACTATGTCCCAGAAGCACTTTATTAGTGTTTAAGACTCTCTGCACATTGCACTTGCCCAGAATCCCAACATACTTCCTGCCACACCCAGCACTTTTTAACCTGTACCCACCACTGGCCCGGCCCTGGTTTTTACTGTGTAATAGTGTAATGTTTTGTCATTGCTTATGTTTTTAATTTGCTTTGTACTGTATTGTTATTGTTTGCTGTTGTTGTGTTGAGGCCTTGGCCTTTGTAAGCCACATTGAGTCCTGCGGGAGATGCTAGCGGGGTACAAATAAAGTTTAATAATGATAATAAATAATATTTGTTGTATTATATTATAATACACATAAATATATTACATTTTTAGTAATGTATTGTCGAAGGCTTTCATGGCTGGAATCACTAGGTTCTTGTGGGTTTTTTTGGGCTATAGGGCCATGTTCTTGAGGCATTTCTCCTGACGTTTCGCCTGCATCTGTGGCAAGCATCCTCAGAGGTAGTGAGGTCTGTTGGAATTAGGACAATGGGTTTATATATCTGTGGAATGGCTGGGGTGGGGCAAAGAGCTCTTCCCTGCTGGAGCTAGGTGTGAATGTTTCAACTGACCACCTTCATTAGCATTTGAAGGCCTGCCTGAGCCTGGGAAAATGTTTTGTTGAGAGGTGTTAAGATGTGCCTGGTTGTTTCCTCTCTGCTGTTTTGCTGTTGTAATTTTAGAGTTTTTTAAATACTGGTAGCCAGATTTTGTTCATTTTCATGGTCTCTTCTTTGCTGTTGAAATTGTCCACATGCTTGTGGATTTCAATGGCTTCTCTGTGTAGTCTGACATGGTGGTTGTTGGTGTGGTCCAGCATTTCTGTGTTCTCAAATAATATGCTGTGTCCAGGCTGGTTCATCAGGTGCTCTGCTATGGCTGACTTCTCTGGTTGAAGTAGTCTGCCGTGCCTTTCATGTTCCTTGATTCGTGTTTGGGCAATGCTGCTGCGTTTGGTGGTCCCTCTGTAGACTTCTTGTCCACAGCTGCATGGTATACGGTAGACTCCTGCAGAAGTGAGAGGATCCCTCTTGTCCTTTGCTGAACGGAGCATTTGTTGGATTTTCTTGGTGGGTCTGGAGATAGTTTGTATGTTGTGTTTCCTCATCAGCTTCCCTCTGCGGTCAGTGGTTCCCTTGATGTCTGGCAGGAACACTTTCCTCTGGGTGGATCTTCGTCTTGACTCTCGTGGCTTCTTCTCGGTGGTCTTGCAGCTCTTCTGATGTCTGAGGTGGAGTCTCCATTGGCCTGGAGAGCCCAGTTGAGGTGGTTCAGTTCATCTTGGAGGAGGTGGGGTTCGCAGATTCTTTTTGCACGGTCTGCCAAGGCTTTAATGGTGCTTCTTTTTTGACTTGGGTGATGGTTGGAGTTTTTATGTAGATATCTATCGGTGTGTGTGGGTTTTCTGTAGACGGTGTGACCCAATTGTTGATCTGGTTTGCGGATGACTAGGACATCTAGAAAAGGCAGTCTTCCTTCATTTTCTTTTTCCATTGTGAATTGGATTTTTGGGTGGATGCTGTTAAGATGGTCCAGGAACCTGTTGAGTTCTTCTTCTCCATGGCTCCAAATGGTGAAGGTGTCATCTTTAGTAATATTATTTTATTTAGTAATATTATTTTATTTGTATCACGTTCTGTCATAGTGAGAATCATAGTATTTATTTTTTTTATTTATTTACAGCTTTTCTATTCCGCCCTTCTCCTCACCCCGCAGGGGACTCAGGGCGGATTACAGTGTACACATATATGGCAAACATTCAATGCCAATTTTTGACATACAAACATATACAGACATACACAGAGGCTATTTAACTTTTTTCTGGCCTCTAGGGGAGCTGTCGCTTTCATCGTCCATCTGCGACACTGATGAAGCACTTCCGCATTCCCCGCATGCTTCCCCGCTGGAATGCTTTGCTGGAGACTTCTTTATGGCTTCATAAATCAGTTAATTTAGCCTCCCCACACTTTAAGGTGGTACCTTACTTTCCTACTTGACAGATGCAACTGTCTTTCGGGTTGCAAAGGTCGACAACAGGCTACACACAACCCGGGCTGGCTTCGAACTCATGACCTTTTGGTCAGAGTGAACTCGATGCAGCTGACACTCTTAAGCCAGCTGCGCCACAATCCCGGTGCAGTGTTGTTGTTGTTCATTCGTTCAGTCGTCTCCGACTCTTCGTGACCTCGTGGACCAGCCCACGCCAAAGCTCCCTGTTGGCAGTCACCACCCCCAGCTCCTTCAAGGTCATTCCAGTCACTTCAAGTCACAATCCCGGTGCAGTATACATTGTATATTGGAATACATCGAAATAACAATAACAATAACAATAATATCACATTTTATGTGTGATCATTATAGTATATATTAGAATACATTTTAACATATATCTTGTATTATTATTGTATTATATTATAATACATATAAATATATTCCATCTTTAGTAATATTATTATTTTATTTGTATCATGTTCTGTCTCAATGAGAATCCTAGTATATTAGAATACATAGAAATAATAATAATAATAACAATGGACTCTCAGCCAGGTCTGGAATGGAGGCCAAAGAGGAAAAGCCAACGAGGAGAGCCTAAGAAGTCCCAACACTTCCGGCTCCCATTCGGGCACCCTCTTTTTGTGCAGGAAGGCTGAGCATGCGCACTGGCGCTGTCTTTCTCTATGGCTGTCTGCAGGTCGCTTGGGAACCTGAAGTGTTGCCTCCTTTTGCCTTTGTGCCCAAGAAGGAGAGAAGGACGTTGCAAGGTTTGCATTGAGTTTTTTGTTGTTGTTTGGGCTTGGAAGGGGGCTCATTAAGGCTCAATTAAGCAATGCACGGGGATTAATGCACACTGGGAAGGAAGGCCTGGCTGCACTAATCGCAGTGCATTAATTGATTTTTGCAAAAATTAAAAATGGAGGAAGATCATTGGGTTAATTGGGGGGAAATGAGCAATTTATTAATGGCATTTGCACAGGCCATTTGCATAGAAGACATGAATGCAATGCACAAATGCATAGAAGGAAGTGCTGCATGAAACCAGTGGCCTGCAGATGTTTCCTATTGAAATCCAAGGCAAATACAATCACATTGTAAGAATGCAATGCAATAATGAAGTATTGCAACACATCATAATATAATGGATCATAATAAATATTATATTGTGATGCATTATACATCATTGCGATATTATATCTTGCAATGCAATATTGCAATTTTGCATTGCAATATAATAATGTAATATATTATTACAATAATTGCAATATTATATTAAGTTATATTATTGCAATATTATATTATTGCAATAATTGCAATATTATATTCAATTATATTATTGCAATATTATATTATTGCAATAATTACGATATTATATTAAATTATATTATTGCAATATTATATTCAATTATATTATTGCAATATTACATTATTTCAATAATTGCAATATTATATTCAATTATATTATTGCAATAATTGCAATATTATATTCAATTATATTATTGCAATATTATATTATTGCAATAATTGCAATATTATATTAAATTATATTATTGCAATAATTATGATATTATATTAAATTATATTATTGCAATATTATATTATTGCAATAATTGCAATATTATATTAAATTATATTATTGCAATAATTGTATTATTATATTAAATTATATTATTGCAATATTATATTAAATTATATTATTGCAATATTAAATTATTGCAATAATTATAATATTATATTAAATTATATTATTGCAATGCATAAATATTAGAATATATAATACTGTGATAGTACATTTGTAATAACATTAAACATTGTATAATATATAATAATATATATAATGAAAACATAAACATAACACATAATAATATTGTAATTATATTTATTGCAATGCATAAATACTAGAATATATAATACTGTAATAGTGCATTTGTAATATTGTATAATATATAATAATATATAATGAAAACATAAACATAACACATAGTAATGTAATATTGTAATTATATTATTGCAGTATATAAATACTAGAATATGTAATACTGTAATAATACATGTGCAATATTGTATAATATATAATAATATATATAATGAAAATATAAACATAACACATAGTAATGTAATATTGTAATTATATTATTGCAATGCATAAATACTAGAATATATAATATTGTAATAGTGCATTTGTAATATTGTATAATATATAATAATATATTATGTAAACATAACACATAGTAATATTGTAATTATATTATTAGAATGCATAAATACTAGAATATATAATACTGTGATAGTACATTTGTAATATTGTATAATATATAATAATAACATGAAAACATAAACATAACATATAGTAATGTAATATTGCAATTATGCAAAACAAGATTATTAAAATGCAATGCCATTAAAATACAATATAAGACCTTATCTTAAATGTCTTTTATTGTATTTTAATGGCATTGCATTATAATACAATAGTGTTATATGATCACTATTACTGTATTATAATGCAATATAATAATAATATATTGTACATTTATGAGAAGGTCTTATATTGTATTTTAATACCATTGCATTTTAATAATACTGTTTTGCATCATTACAATATTACAAGGCGGATTACAATGCACATATACATGCTAAACATTCAATGCCAATTAGTCATACAACATATATAGACAGACACAGAGGCAATTTAACATTCCAGCTTTCCGGCTTCATGAGTGTATGCTTGGTTCCGGCAACAAGGGGAGCTGTTGCCTCACTGTCCATTTGTGACACCGAGTCCTTTGATAGAGTACTTCCTCATTCTTCTGCACGCTGCTGGAAGGTTTTATGGCATCATGAATTAGTTAAATTAACCTCCCTGCATAAAGTGGTACCTGAATTTCCTACTTGACAGATGCAACTGTCTTTCAGGCTGCAAAGGTCAACAGCGAGCTAGACTATTGGCCGGAAGCTCACTCCGACCCGGGCTGGCTTTGAACTCATGACCTCTTGGTCAGTAGTGATTTAATGCAGCTGGTTATCAGCTAGCTGCACCACAGCCGGGTCTATATACTAACATACTATAATATTTATTTATTATTTATTTACTTTGCTTATATACCGCTGTATCTCAAGCCCGAAGGCGACTCACAGCGGTTCACAAACAGTAAAAACAGTAGAAACAGCAGTGGTTCCATACAACATATAACAATTGACTTAACACATTATCCATAAATTACCAATAAGCAATTACAATGCACAATTATTACAAAAACAACCGTACCCAATCTTCTCATCATCCAAGCGTAGTCCAGGTTCGTCGTCCATTGTTCCATTCCTATGTTCCATTACCAGATTGCACTAAATTACTCAAACGCCTGCACAAACATCCAGGTCTTCACCTTTTTGCGGAATACCATTAGAGATGGTGCTAATCTAATGTCCGTAGGAAGGGCGTTCCACAGCCGAGGAGCCACCACCGAGAAGGCCCTATCTCTCGTCCCCGCCAGCCGAGCTTGAGAAGCAGGCGGGATCGAGAGCAGGGTCTCCCCGGAAGATCTCAAAGCTGGTGGGTTCATAGGCAGAGATGCGGTCAGATAGGTAGCTTGGGCCGGAACCGTTTAGGGCTTTAAAGGCCACGCCAGCACTTTGAATTCAGCCCGGTAGCAGATCGGTAGCCAGTGGAGTTGGCGCAACAGGGGGGTTGTATGCTCCCTGCGCTCGGCTCCTGTTAAAATCATGGCTGCCGAGCGTTGGACTAGTTGGAGCTTCCGAGCTGTCTTCAAAGGCAACCCCACGTAGAGAGCGTTGCAGTAGTCTAAACGGGATGTAACCAGAGCGTGGACTACCGTGGCCAAGTCAGACTTCCCAAGGTACGGGCGCAGCTGGCGCACAAGCTTTAGCTGTGCAAATGCTCCCCTGGTCACCGCTGAGACCTGGGCTTCCAGGCTCAGCGTTGAGTCCAGGGTCACACCCAAACTGCGAACCTGCGTCTTCAGGGGGAGTGCGACCCCGTCCAACACAGGCTGTAACCCTATACCCTGTTCGGCCTTGCGACTGACCAGGAGTACCTCTGTCTTGTCTGGATTCAATTTCAATTTGTTCGCCCTCATCCAGACCGTCACAGCGGTCAAGCACCGGTTCAGGACCTCGACAGCCTCCTTAGTAGCAGGTGGAAAGGAGTGACAGAGTTGGACATCATCCGCGTACAGATGACACTGTACCCCGAAACTCTGGATATATATATATATATATATAGTAACAATATAAAATACTTCATTGTACTACACCACTGCAATATTACATTAGGTGGTTGGGTGACTGGATGGATGAGTAGGTAGGTAATTGGATAGATGGCTAGATAGGTGGACTGATGGATAGGTTGGTGGATGGATGCGTAGGTAGGTAGATGGATGGAAAGGTGGCTAAATGGATGAGTTTACAGCTGGTGGATGGGTGGATGGCTAGATAATGGCTGGATGGATGGGTACGGGAGGGTGGATGGATAGCTGGATAGATAGGTAGGTAGTTGAGTGAAGATGGAAGGATGGCTAGATTGATGGGTGGGTGGGTAAGTAGGTAGGTCAGTGAGTGGATGGATGGCTAGAAAGATGGATGGGAAAATGGATGGATCTCTAGATAGATGGATTGGAAGATGGATGGCTAGATAGATGGATGGATAAATATTGTATATTGTTACAGCATTGAATGGCTGCCGGGTTGTAAACAGCTTTGAGAAAGATGGATAGAAATAGCATAAATAATAAATAATAGATAGATAGATAGATAGATAGATAGATAGATAGATAGATAGATAGACGGGCAGATGTATAAATGGATGTCACTGGGGATTCCTATGGCCCTATAAATGTCCACAGCCCGAGAAGAGGGGTCTGAACATATTTATACCGAATGAAACACTTTCCCACCTGATTCATCTTTTTTTTCCAGGAGAAGACATGGAAGTCGGAGGCCATAAAACATCCCTCAAGGTTTCTTCTAGGTTACCTTCTCTTCGGGGTGGAATTGATACTCTGGACGTCCCACTAAAGCAGGTAAAAGGGAAGAAGGGTCAGGGATCGGGAGCGGAGGGGAGTCTTTCTCTCCTGGTTCTGCCTCTGTAGAGTCAACCTTGATTTTGCCAAGTGCCATGCTGATGTGTAGGTAGACCTTTGCTCTAGAATCATTTCAGGGATCCTCCAGAACTCATCATTTATAGAAAAGATGGCTTGTCAATATGCCCTTCTGGACCTGAACATCCACAGATTTTGGTATCTAAGGGGGGGGGGGGTTCCATTTATTTGTCGTGTCAGGGCAACCAGTCAATTATATTACATTTTTAACAGAACAAAGCAAACAAACAGACAAAATACATCATTTCGTGGATTCCACTTTGTAGCCCCATTTCTTGAGGTTGGCTCTGCATCTCGTGGTGCCAGAGCGCAGTCTGTTCAGCGCCTTCCAAGTTGCCCAGTTTTCTGTGTGCCCAGGGGGGAGTCTCTCATTTGGTATCAGCCATTGATTGAGGTTCTGGGTTTGAGCCTGCCACTTTTGGACTCTCGCTTGCTGAGGTGTTCCAGAGAGTGTCTCTGTAGATCTTAGAAAACTATTTCTTGATTTAAGTCATTGGCATGCTGGCTGATACCCAAACAGGGGATGAGCTGGAGATGTCTCTGCCTTGGTCCTTTCACTATTGGCTGCTACTTCCCGGCGGATGTCAGGTGGTGCAATACCGGCTAAACAGTGTAATTTCTCCAGTGGTGTAGGGCGCAGACACCCCGTGATAATGCAGCATGTCTCATTAAGAGCCACATCCACTGTTTTAGCGTGGTGAGATGTGTTCCACACTGGGCATACATACTCAGCAGCAGAGTAGCAAAGCGCAAGGGCAGATGTCTTCACTGTGTCTGGTTGTGATCCCCAGGTTGTGCCAGTCAGCTTTCGTATGATATTGTTTCTAGCACCCACTTTTGCTTGATGTTCAGGCAGTGCTTCTTGTAGGTCAGAGCACGGTCCAGAGTGACTCCCAGGTATTTGGGTGCTGCAATGCTCCAGTGGGATTCCTTCCCAGGTAATCCTCAGAGCTCGGGATGCTTGTCTGTTCTTAAGGTGAAAAGCACATGTCTGTGTTTTAGATGGATTAGGGATCAGCTGGTTTTCCCTGTAATAGGCAGTAAGAGCACCTAGAGCTTCGGAGAGCTTCTGTTCAACCATCTCAAAGCTCCCTGCTTGAGCAGTAATGGCACGATCATCAGCATAGATGAAATTCTCTGTCCCTTCTGGCAGTGGCTGGTCATTTGTGTAGATGTTGAACATGGATGGAGCAAGCACGCTCCCCTGAGGCAGGCCGTTCTTCTGTTTCCGAAAACAAAAGGGGAAACAAGGGTGGGTTCCATGACCCAATCCCAATGGATACTGAGGGCCTGCTGTATTTTCTCCTTCTTGTGATTCAGTCCAAAGTTCTCTGTGAAATCAAGGAGACTTGAGGTTCTTCAGAAGAACTTCCACATTAACCTTTCTTTGATTGTTCTATTTTCACCAAGCAGAAAGTTGTCATTGATTTCATTTTCAGAATCGGATGACCATTAAAAGAGAACCCAAATCTTCTACTGGGGAGGAATGGATCCCATCAGATCCGAGAGAGAGTAAGCCGCGTATGAAAGTTGAGAGTTTTGAGAATCCAGTGACCATTACGAAGGAGCTGGAGTCTTCAACAGAGAAAGCGTCAATCCCATCAGATCCAAAAAAGAGTTTTCAGAATCTGGTGGCTATTAAGAGAGAGACCGAGACTTCCACAGAGGAGGAATGGATCCCACCAGGTCCAAGGGAGAGTCCGTTGCACATGAAAGTCAAGAGTTTTGAGGATCCAGTGACCCCTAAGAGAGAAGCCGAGCCTTCCACAGAGGAGGAATGGATCTCGACAGATCCCGTAGAGAGCACTCTGCTCATGGAAGTTGTGGAGGAGAGTTTTGAGGACGTTGCCTCTCCAGTTCAAGGTACCTGTTTTCCATGGAATGGGAAATACTGGAATGCTGACATCCTTTTTTGGGATCAGTGCACAATGGGAAGGCCATAGAGGGCAACGAAATCTAATCTGAGTTTTAGTTCTCTTTGCATTTTTATACTCTACTAGCTTAGGTACCCGGTGATGCCCAGGATAGGTAGTCTATGATGATCATTATTATAAGTAGCCATGGTTCATTTTGGATTTTATGCATGGTCCCATCTGAAAATACACAAAGATGTGGGCAAATTACAGTTCCCATTATCATCTGTCATTGCCTCCAATCCACACAATTAGTTAAAGCTGGTCATGATGGGTATGTGTGCCGGGTTTGGTTCAGATTCATCGTCAGTGAGGTTCACAGGATTCTCTGGATTTGGGTGGACTGCAACTCCCATTATCCACTGCCGTTGCCCCCAAACCTAGCCATTCTTTGAAATTGGTCATGATGGGTAGTGCACCAAGTTTGGTCCAGATGTGTCATCAATGGTGTTGAGAGTGCTCTCTAGAAGTTCTTCTAGAACAGTGTTTCTCAACCTTCCTAACGCCGTGACCCCTTAATACAGTTCCTCATGTTGTGATGACCCCCAACCCTAAAATTATTTTCGTTGCTACTTCATTACTGGAATTTTGCTACTCTTATGAATCGTCATGTAAATATCTGATAGGCAGGATGTATTTTCATTCTCTGGACCTTGGAAGTTGTAGTTGCTGGGATTTATAGTTCACCTACAATCAAAGAGCATTCTGAACTCCACCATAGATGGAATTGACCCAAACTTGGCACACAGAACTCCCATGACCAACAGAAAATATGGAAGGGTTTGGTGAGATTGACCTTGAGTTTGGGAGTTGTAGTTGACCTATCTCCAGAAAGCACTGTAGATTCAAACAATGGTAGATCGACTAAACCTGGCACGAATACTCAATATCCCCAAATGTGAACATTGGTGGAGTTTGGGGAAAATAGACCTTGACATTTGGTAGTTGTAATTGCTGCGATTTATAGTTCACCTACAATAAGAGAGCATTCTGAACACCACCAGAGATGGAATTGACCCAAACTTGGCACACAGAATGCCCATGACCAGCAAAAAAATAATGAAAGGGTTAGGTGAGCATTGGCCTTGAGTTTGGGAGTTGTAGTTCACCTATCTCCAGAAAGCACTGTAGACTCAAACAATGGTAGATCTGGACTAAATCTGGCATGAATACTCAATATTCCCAAATGTGAACACTGTTGGGAGTTTGGGGAAAATAGACCTTGACATTTGGGAGTTGTAATTGCTGGGATATATAGTTCACCTACAATCAAAGAGCATTCTGAACCCCACCAACGACAGAATTGGGCCAAACTTCCCACATGGAATCCCCATGACCAGCAGAAAATACTGTCTATCTTGGTCTTTGGCGACCCCTCTCGCGACCCGCCCAGGGGTCCTGACCCCCAGGTTGAGAAACACTGTTCTAGAACCAGGCTGGCTTTTAATTGTATTTTAATTGTATTAATGTAATGTTTTAATTGTTATAATTACTGTTATTATGTATTTTATTGTGTGAATTGTAGGCATCAACGTATGCCGATTGGTAGCCGCCCTGAGCTCCCCTTAGGGGGTTGAGAAGGGCGGGGTAGAAGTACCCGAAATAAATAAATAAATAAATAAATCCTGGATGCAGAGTGAACTGCAATTCCCATCATCCGGGGTATTGTCCGGATCTGTAGCTTTCTGGTGAAATAATTACCTCACAAACAAAGTTGGAAGGCTTTAATTCAAAAGCATGCATTAGGGAACGCAACAAAATTCCAACTGACAGTTTATTTCCCTCACATCTCTTATCCTTCATGCTGGCTCCTCCCCTCCATTGCTCTCTCCTCAACCTCTTCAGTATTTTCTTTTGGTGGGGGGGGGTTCCTTTTCCCACCTTGGAGACCTACTCTTCCCAAACCGATACTCTCTTTTGTTTCTTTCAGATGATTCCAACAAGAGGAGTAAAATGCATAGGAATCAGAAGGAGGTGGTCGATGAAAGCCCAGATTGGGACTACGGCGTCACATTCATTTCCCCCGAAGGGACTTACCTCCCCAAAATCCCATTGCGCGAATATCAGAAGGCACAGCAGCACCGTCTGTCGAAAGATGGGGGGCTGAAGAGGCACCAGTGCCTGGAGTGTGGGAAGGCCTTCAAGTTCAACACCAAGTTGAGGCTGCACCAGCGGACCCACACCGGGGAGAAGCCCCACGAATGCCCCGAGTGTGGGAGGTGCTTCAGCTACAGCGCCAACCTCCGGACGCACCTCAGGACTCACACTGGGGAGAAGCCATACCGGTGCGCCCAGTGTGGACGCTGCTTCAGCCACAGCTGGAACCACAAGATGCATCAGAAGGTGCATGAGGGAAAGAGCGGGCAAGGGGGCCAGAAAGAGGTTCCGTCGCACACCGGGTCCCAGATCGCAACAAATAATTCGCACAACAGAGACACAATGTAAGGGCTAAAACCAACTGTTCACCCTAACTTGGGTCAACCCATGGAAGCAGTAGAGTTTACACAGGTGTTGGCTTGTTGATTGGTTGGTGGGTCTGTTAGAGTAGGATTCAGCCCTGAAGAATGCAAGTCCAGGTTGGAGTTGTGTGGCTCTCCCAAAACTCCTTATTCCTCTTCCTTGGGTTTCTGGGAGTTGTATCTCAAGGGCCACACAATTTTAACATATGGACATCTTTGACTTATAATCGTGTGCCTGAGCTGACACCAGAACCAATGTACGCAATAAATGAGAGTTGGAAAACCAAGCAATGGATCACATTTGTCTCTCCAGGCCATTGTCTCCGTTCCATCGGGACATTGGAGAAGGCCCTTTTCCATGAAGCTCTTCTCCATCTCAGAAGCTCCATCTTCTCAGTGGGAAGTGATCTAGTTTTGAAGATCCATCACAGAATCATAAGAGTTAGAAGGGGCAACAAGAGCCATCCAACTCAAGTCTTACTTTGTTGAGCTTCTCCAATGTGAGAAGGAAAAGCAAAGCATGTTATGGAAACATGAAAATGAAGTGATACAACCTCAATGAGGTGAATGATTCTTCCAAAAGTTACCCACCTTTCCAGGTGTGTGTGTCCATATTGGGTTCTTCTTACTTCAAGAACCCAATACGGACACATACACATCTGAAATAATAGAATCATAGAATCATAGAGTTGGAAGAGACCACAGTTGTGTTGAAGGCCCTCAACAGACCGAGGAGCTCTAGAAATAGAACACACTTCTGTCTTCATGGAGACCTTCCAAAACATCCCCCTCTCTTGATGTAAGAAGAGCCCAGTATGGACACATACACACCTGAACTTAGGATGAAGACCTTCAATAGCTGAGGATCCCTAGAAATGGAACATGTTTCTCTCTTCATGGAGACCTTTCTAAACATTCCCATCTTTTGATGTAAGAAGAGCCCAATATGGACACATACACACCTGAAATCATAGAATCATAGAGTTGGAAGAGACCACAGTTGGATTGAAGACCCTCAACAAATCAAGGAGCTCTAGAAATAGAACACACCTCTGTCTTCATGAAGACCTTTCAAAACATCCTCATCTCTAGATGTAAGAAGAGCCCAGTATGGACACATACACCTAAACTTGGGATGAAGGCCCTCAACAGGTGGGGGATCCCTAGAAATGGAACACGCTTCTGTCTTCATGGAGACCTTCTACTAATCAAAAGAAGATCCACCCAGGACTTTCAGCTAAAACCCATCTGGAACATGAGAAAAACTTCAAGTGTAGCACATGCCTCCAAAGGGATTATGTTGAGTTGCAGTTCCCCAATCTCTTCCCATTGTCTGAGGCTGATGGGAGTTGTAGTCCAGGAACAGATTCAGATTGGACGAGCCTATGGGTCCATAACTTGATAATTTGCCTTACCAATTGACCGAAACCCCTCCTGGGGACTGGTAAATCCAATGGGACAACTGAGGCTGAACTCCTATTCGTTGCTGGTGGGAATTGTGTGGTCTGTGGGCCACATTTTGTAGACTAAGTCACCCTCCCATATTATCACCCCAAATGACTGAAAAGAAGCCATGATTTGCTTCCCATTTAGGGCAATATATTAATAGTTTTCCACCGACTAGGGGTGGGTCCATGGCAGTCAACCAGAATTGCGGTAAGAGCTGCCCATGCAATATAAATTCTGTTTAGTTGAGGATATTATTTTGTCTTTCCTTTTTAAATATCCCTATGTTTTCAGTTTTGTTGTGTTTGATTAAAGGAGTTCATCCTGCTTTTTGCTTCTCCTTGAGAATCTGTTCTCAGCTTTTCTTCTCCAAGAACACCATACAGTTGGCCTTCAACTTTCCTATGGAGATGTTAGGAGCACAGCAGCTCCACAAACAACCCCAAATACATTTCTGCTCTTACTATTTTTAGCTGGAAGAACACTTCTCTAGGGATCTCTAGATCTTCCAGTGTCATTTTGTGGTTGATGTCCTCCAGATGTTGACCATGGAATGGCTCCAGAGCAGGCATGGATCAACTTGGGCCCTCTGGGTTTTTTGGAGTTGAATTCCCACAATTCCTAACAGTCTACTTGTTTTGTCGAAGGCTTTCATGGCTGGAATCACTAGGTTCTTGTGGGTTTTTTCGGGGTATAGAGCCATGTTCTAGAGGCATTTCTCCTGACGTTTCGCCTGCATCTATGGCAAGCATCCTCAGAGGTTGTGAGGTCTGCAGGAAGAGCTCCTTGCCCCACCCCAGCCATTCCACAGATATATAAACCCATTTTTCCTACTTCCAACAGACCTCACAACCTCTGAGGATGCTTGCCATAGATGCAGGCGAAACGTCAGGAGAAATGCCTCTAGAACATGGCTCTATAGCCCGAAAAAAACCCACAAGAACCTAGTCTACTTGTTGTTAGGAATTGTGAGAGTTGAAGTCCAAAACACCTGGAGGGCCAAACTTGGCTCATGCCTACTCTAGAGGATGTCTTCCAGACGTTGACCATGGAATGGCTCCAGAGTAGGCATGAACTTGAATTCCCACAATTCCTAACAGTCTACCGGCTGTGGGAATTGTGGGAGTTGAAGTCCAAACCACCTGGAGGGCCAGAGTTGGCTCATGCCTTCTCCAGAGGACCTACAGATGCTTAGCGAAGTGCTCTCATTTGGGATCTCTAGGTCAGTGGTTCTCAATCTGTGGGTCTCTAGATGCTTTGGCCTTTAACTCCCAGAAATCCTAACACTGTTAAAGTGGCTGGGATTTGTGGGAGTTGTAGGCCAAAACACCTGGGGACCCACAGGTTGAGAGCCACTTCTCTAGGTCTATGGTTGAATTCCTCCAGAAGTTGACCATAGGATGGCTCTGAAGGACCTACAAATGTTTAGAAAAGAGCTAGGTCTCTAGGAAAAACTTGGCCTTTCAGCACAACTTTCTCCAGGTGTGGACCACAGGATGGTTCTGGAGGACCACTAAATGCTTACAGAAGTGTTCTAGGTCTTCCCAATGTGATTCTTATGTCAACAGATGTTGACTGTACAAATGCCGAGAGAGAATATAGTCATCAAATCCATGAATAATTAAATCTGCGAATGCTTAACCTGTGAAAGTTGAAGGACGTATCTTGAGAAGACATTGTTGATTTTAGAAAAGGATGAAATATAGATTCAGTTGTGCAGTGTCGCTGTTCAACATAAGAGTTGTTCTATGCAATTGACACATTGCTCTATCTGTAATAGATGTCTCTACCTTTATTAATTTTACACACACACACACACACACACACACACATACTCCTGTCTAGCTGGAGATCTCAATGAATCCAATCTGGAACATTTCATCACGATATCTATTTCACTTTAGCTATAGCTCAAATCTCTAGCTATGTCTATAGTTATCTAGCTGTGTGTGTGTGTGTCTTATCAACCTGTCTATGACTGTCTCTACTAACCTATCTTATCTACCTATCTGTTTATAGCTATCTAGCTATCATCTATAGTTGCCTATCTCTCTATGTCTATCTATAGTTATCTATCTCTCGCTCTGTCTATAGTTATCTATGTCTATCGATAGTTATCTCTCTCTATGTCTATAGTTATCTATATCTAGTTATCTATATAGTTATCTATCTCTTGATGTCTGTTTGTCTGACTATCTATGCCTATAGTTATCTATATACATAGTTATCTATCTCTCTATATCTATCTATCTATGCCTATAGTTATCTATATCTATAGTTATCTATATCCATAGTTATCTTTCTCTGTCTGTCTGTCTGTCTGTCGATCTATCTATCTATCTATCTATCTATCTATGCCTATAGTTATCTATCTCTATGTCTATAGTTATCTATATCTATAGTTATCTATCTCTCTATGTATGTCTGTCTCTATGCCTATAGTTATATATATATGTAGTTATCTATAATCTATAGTTTTCTTTCTATGTCTGTCTGTCTGTCTGTCTATCTATCCATCTATCTATGCCTATAGTTATCTATCTATATCTGTAGTTATCTATCTCTATGTCTATAGTTATCTCTATATGTCTATAGTTATCTATATCCGTAGTTACCTATCTCTATAGTTATCTATCTATCTATATACCTAGTTATCTATATCTATAGTTATCTATCTCTCTATATCTGTAGTTATCTATCTCTCTATGTCTATAGTTATCTATGTCTATAGTTTTCTGTCTATAGTTATCTATATCTGTAGTTATCTATCTCTATAGTTATCTATCTCTCTGTATAGTAAGCTATCTATATACCTAGTTATCTATATCTATAGTTATCTCTCGCTCTATATCTGTAGTTATCTATCTCTATATCTATAGTTATCTATCTATATAGTTATCTACCTATAGCCATAGTTATCTATCTCTCTATGTCTATCTATCGATCTATGCCTATAGTTATCTATCTATATTTGTTGTTATCTGTCTCTATGTCTATAATTATCTCTATCCATAGTTATCTATCTCTCTATGTCTATCTGTCTGTCTATGCCTATAGTTATCTATATCTATAGCTGTCTATCTCTATCCATAGTTATCTATCTCTCTATGTCTGTCTATCTATTGATCGATCGATCTATGCCTATAGTTATCTATATGCATAGCTATCTATCTCTCCATATCTATGTCTATAGTTATCTATCTATGTCTATCTATATCTATAGTTATCCATCTCTATGTCTATCTATAGTTATCTCTCCGAATATTTCTATGTCTATACTTATCTATGTCTACCTATAGTTCCTATCTCATCTCTAGCGATCTCTTCACTCTCTCCCCACTTATCCTCTACCTATATCTACCATTCATCTCTCTCTAACTGTATCAATTGATCAATCCTCTATCTCTTGACCTGCCTACTCTATCAATCATGCGTATCTATCAATCATCCTATTTACCAATTGTCAGTCATCTATCTCTATCTAATTTCTTTCCCCATTTTCTCTCCCGAGCCCTATCTATCTCTTTAATCTCACCCTATCACTTGTCTCTAACACTATCTAATTATCTCTTATCTGTCTATATATTAGAATAGATATACATCAGGAATGTATATCTAAGTAAGTAAAGTAATCCATTCTTGCAGTGCATTCTTCTCCCAGCAGGTGGAGGCAGAATGCAATGGATGGGAGGATTGCAAAAATGCATTGGCAGCAAAGGGAGAATCATGTTAGAGCAGGCAAGGGCACACTACAACTCCCACAATTCCTAACAGCCTACCGCCCATCCAAAGGAGTAGAGTAACTGCTGAACTCCTGAAGGCACCTGATCCAGCCTGATCATGGAAGCTAAGCAGGGTTACCCTTGGTTAGTGCTTGGATGGGAGACTGTCAATAAACATCAGAGGCTGGAGGTGAATTCACCTGGGAGAATTCCTGGGCTAATAAAATCCTATGAAATCCATGGAGTCCACATCCCTCTACAAGTAACTCAAGTAACTGTAAAGGAACGAGTAATAACTATAAGTGCAAGTAACTGCAATTACAAGAAACTATGAGTAGCAAGTACAAGTCACTCAAGTAACTATAACGATGAGTAACCCAAGTGACTACAAGTAACTCAAATAACTATAAGTACAAATCAAGACAAGAAACTGAGTAACTACAAGTATAAGCAACTAAGTAACACTAAGCATAAGTAACTATAAGGAAATGCTAATAAATATAAATATAAGGAACTACCAATAACTACAAGTATAATCATTAGTACAAGTAACTCAGGTAACTATTAGTACAAGTAGTCCAAGTGATTACAGTTACAAGTCACTCCAGTAACCATAAGAAACTACCAATAACTAAAAGTATAAATAACCATTAGTACAAGTAACTCACAATACAAGTAGTCCAAGTGACTACAATTACAAGTCACTCAAGTAACTATAACGAAGAGTAACTCAAGTACAAGTAACTCAAATAACTATAAGTACAAATCAAGACAAGAAACTGAGTAACTACAAGTATAAGCAACTAAGTAACACTAAGCATAAGTAACTATAAGGAAATACTAATAACTATAAATATAAGCAACTACAAGTAAGTCAAGTAACTAAGTACAAGCAATTCAAATGATTACAATTTCAAGTAACTTTAAGTACAAGTAGCTATAATTATAAAAAATGCAAGTAACTATAAGTACAAGTATAACTTAACTGCAAGCAACAATAATTACAAGTAACTATAAGGAATTACTAATAACTAATTATGAGTAACTACAAGTAAAAGTAACTCAAGTAACTATAAGTACAAGTAATTCAAGTGACTATAAGAACAAGTAATTACAAGTATAAGAAGCTATTACTAACTATAAGTATAGGTAACTAAGTAACAATAAGTACCAGGAACCACAAGGAAATACTAATAACTACAAGTTCATGTAACTCAAGTAACTATAAGTAACAACGTGTATAACAAACTATGAGTAACTACAAGTTATAATTTGTAATAATTAAATAAAAGTAACTATAAGTACAAGTAATTCATATGACTACAAGTAACTCAGGTAACTATAAGTAACTTCAAGTACAGTAACTACAAATAACTGAAATAGAAGTAACTATGTGTAGTTACAAGTAACTCAAAGACAAACAATACACAGATTTATTAGTTGCACTACTAGACTGCAATTCCTGTTTGTTCCCTCTGCTGGCCAAGGAACTGATGGAGTCCACTGAGATCCTAATGGAACCAGATCCCGCCTGGTCTTGGAAGCTAAGCAGGGCCAGCTCTGGTTAGTGCTTGGATGGGAGACTGCCAACTCATGCCTCCTGCCA